GGATTCTTTACGTTCTTCTGCCCCTTTCTGCACCCCCACGGCGCAACTACTTGTGTGGTGCCCAGGCTCCTGAACACAGTCGCCAGTGTTGCATTGGAATTGCTGAACCTTCAGATCCTTATCGCGCGCGCCGTCGCAGCTGTGCGAGTGAACTCCGCACGGATGGAAGATGTCAGCTTCTCACCCGTGCCTGGAGGCGATCTCACCAAACATCGAGCCAAAAGTGACATAGATTGCATTTCAACCCACAAAATCTAAATGCAATTGTCCTGTGTGGGCCTCTCTCTCTCTCTCTTTCAGATCGCCTGAAAGGTCAGGGAAAAACAGGTATATTCTACAGGAATGGTCTTACATCCACCAGGTGCCCAGGCGACCGAGCCAGCGGCCGTTTTGGCAGCGCAGTTGCGCAAGATCGCTCAGTCGACGGCTTCCTATCCCTCCCAAGGCGGCTAGGCGTCCTCGAGTGGGGTGTTCTTGGGTTGCAGGGCCGCGAGAAAGCTCTTCTCCTCGAAAAACTGGGTGATGACGCACTGCCGGAGGCAAGACCTCAGAGAAGCACATGAGGTCATTGACAAACCAACAAGTGTTCAGCGGCACTTGACCTAAAGGTGAATGTACATTTAAAAACGCTCCCAGGATGTCAAACTACATTGCATGCAATAACGCCTGATATTGTGGTTGTGATATCTGGTATTTGTTTGTGCTGTTGCTGGGTTCTGAAATCCGAGTTTCAGCAACCTCAAGCCGTAACATCATGTCCATTGGTCTCAAGCCATTAAACATGCCCAGATCACTCCGGACATAAAGATATATCAAGAATATATCAAGATTCTAAAGTAATGTTGAATTCATGATGAACACATTGTTTCCCTGCCATGTGCATGGCGTATTTGTCAAAATGACTCCAGCCCTGGGATGTGAGGCTCTAGAAACAGTACCTGTTCCCTCCAAGAAGTCTCTGCAAACATCGACCAGTAAGGCTAAGACCACCGCTACCAAACAACAGGACGGACATCCAAGGATTGAGGCCTCCCAAGCCCTATCATTCTTTGTCAACATCTCATACGTCCGAGTCCTGAGGTTCTAGTGTGAGCTCAGGGACCTCTCCAACGAATTCTATCTGATTATCTATATAAGTCCGGACTCGTTTTGTAAAGTTGTTGCTTGTCATCAACCATATCAACCCAAGTGGGAAAAAAAATCAACAAAATAACACAATCAACACCAGATATAAACACCACATGAACGCCCAGTCTTTCTCGCCCGTCTCTTTTTGGGCTCAGCCCAGCAGCTCCTTGGGGATGGGTCCTTTGGCGTGTTCTCGGCAGGTGCCCGGCGCATCCGTGGCGTCGTCCTGACCTCGAGCGGTCGCGGTCGCGGACCAGCGGACCAGCGGTCGCCACCGTGGGATCGGAGCGAAGCCATGGACCACAGGAAAGCTGGAGAAGCTGCATGAACATGCAGCTTCTAGCATAGACGAAGCTGTATAGTTTGGCATTGACGCATCAATTGGACGGATGGGTGGTTGGATGGACAGAGAAAAAATACAGGTGGTCCAAGCAACCACTGGAAAGTCCACTGGAACGATTCTTCGCAGTCAGGTTAAAGATTGGTAAGCTTTAGCGGAGTCATAAGCTTTGAACCAGGTTTGTCAATGGCTGGATGAACAACGATGAAAAACGAAAAGAAACACACTTGGTGCCTCCCCATCCAGTACTGGATTCGGAGGAGGCGGTAACGGTCTTAAATGTATTGCTAGATTCTGTATGATTCTGTTAGATTTGTTGTACAAGGACCTGAGGATCCTGAGGGTGCCATCCATTTGCAGTCAAGTCACAGTAGTAGAAGGTGCCAGCACCGCACATGGGGTCCACGTTCAAATCCTGCGTGCTGCGCGCAGGATTGCATGGGCCAGGTTCAGTCGGAGACCCCAAAAAGCACTGCTGCGGTGTGGACCCACTCCGAGGTCGCCCACAACACCTTCTTCTTTGTTTTCCCAACCTTGACTCAGCCCCCACCCTATCCCCAGCGATGCCATCACACTCAGCCCCCACCCTATCCGGGCCTTCCAGCAGTCGGGCAAGATCTGTTCCTCCGAGCAACTGCTGCGAGCCTCGGGATTCACAAGCCGTGACACGTGGTGAAGGACGAGGCAGCGAGGGCGACGGAGAGACTGGAGAAATGATGAACAAGAATACGACAAGGCAACGAGGAATGACAGAAGGAAGTGGACTTATAGGGGTTCTCAAACAAACAAAACTGGTCAAAATGAATGGAATTGATCTGATCTTGCAACGAGGGTAGGATCACTTCAAAGCCCTTGGCTTCTTGTGCCAACTGAGACGCCTCCAACGGGGTCTGTCCGCTAGGACCAAATCCATTGGCAAAGGGTTTTAGGAATCGACATAAATGTAGAGCTTCAGTCACCACCCCGGCACAGGGTCCAATCGCTTGCTTTCTTGTGTTGCCGCACTTTCCCGGCCAGGGTGTAGCATTCCATAGCCCCGAAAAAACGACAAGGCGTGCTTCGGGTGATTCGGGGTCTCCACGAAGCACCAAAAAAAAACCAGGGGCCCAGGCAGTGGTCACCAGGGTGCCCTGGGAAAATGCCGTCTCTTCCACTGCAAATGAGATGCCCACACTCGTGCAGACTTCACGTCTGCAGTGAGGGTCACCTGAACGGTGCCGCCGTTGGGGCAAAGAAGTGGCATGGGAAGCTCCAAATAGTTTGGGAAAGTTATACTGACCTGCAAGATCCTGCACGGTACGGATCTTTCTCAAACATCCCAAATCTGATTGGTGAAAGCTTCCAGACCTGCCAGGTCAAGCTTTTATGCCACCCTGCACACCACCCTGCAAAAGAACCCTCACCTCAATCACATATCCAACCTGCTGCCACCGAGGTCTGCCCCTTGGGCGGCGCCTCAGTCTTGGGCTTCAACTCCACTTGCGAGGCCTCCAGTGGCAAGTTGCTGCCCAGCCTCAGCGTCGTGACGGGTGCGTGGTCACTGTAGTGTCTGACCGTCTGCCAGGTGGTGACTTGAGTTGTTGACCTGCAGTGTCTCCTCGAGAAGGGCCATCCCAACCAACATTGGTTCTGGATTGTTTGTCGGGTAACCTGCTGGAGAACCTCAGTACGTGTAATTAGGAACAATTGGAAAAATAACAACCACTGGATTTCCGTTCTTTTGAAGGGCGAAGCTTTTGAGGTGCGGTGCATCGTTGAAAGCCACCAAACCACCACCACACAACAGCCAGCCCTGTGCGTCGGCTTGATGCACCCCTGTGTACCAAATTCTGGTGGTCCAGTTCCGCCGAAGATGCTTCACTGGATCCCCAATTCATATATGTTGGATAACATACACACATATGAGAATCATATCATAACATATCATAACATCAGTGGGACCTCTCAATTTGCAGTCAGGAGATGTCATGTGTCCACTTGGACACAAGTGTTGGACACAAGCCACCCGGCTTGGGTCACCCATCTCTAAGCCGTCTTGACACTGTCTCCTTTCAGCATCCTGTTGACTCTTCGGGATTCCCGTCCATTCCGTCCAGCGGCCACAACGGTTCCTTACACTTGTTGATGACCTCGCGGTGCGCGAGAAAGGACAGCACAGCTACTGCGATGTACGATGGTCCATTCTGGTAGATACACTGTTTCTCCCTTGTTCTTGAGATTGCTTGAGGTTGGCAGCCAGCCTCACCTTCCTCCAACACAAGACACAGGAACTCCCTGGAAGCACCTCCGTCGCTCCTCCACACGTCTCTGCGGGTCACATCGGTGACTCCGAACAACACAACGACCGCACTTCGGCACCGAAAAGGGATCCGGCATGTGGAGCGGCGAAAAGGAAGCCTACCTTTTTGTTGGTCAAGCGGTGGAACTCCCAGTCCATGCTAGCATTGAAAAAGCAAGCAAATCCTTTCATCACTCTGATCACTCTCTTCAAACTTTTGAGATCACGAAATGGTAAGACGTTTCTCTACAATAATAGACAACAAACACAATAGTATTATCGTTAGCCGTTAGTGGGTGGAAGGGTGCTGCAATTGCATACTGAATCCTTAAAACAGAATCCGTGACGAAAACCTCAGTCTGTCGCTCTCTGAGTTGTGCCTTGATTTCCCGTCCATACGCCAGCTGCAGCAGCGCCAGCTGCGCAAACTGTGTCAAAATGCGTGGCATTGCCATCACAACGGAGCGGGATGCAGCTGGGATTGAAGCAAAATGCTCAGCGGATGATCCTTCCCAGAGTGGCAGCAACCACAATCCAGTGCTGTTTGCATGTCAGGAATCCGATTCCCGTCAATAATAAGTGATAAGGGAACCTGGGGACAAGTGCGACCAAATGATCGTCTTGTCCGAAGCTTGAGCGTTGCTATTTTTCTTACGCCGCAGGAAAGTAAGTCATATTCGACAAATTCCGTGTTTTCCCTCAGACGATCACTGGAGGCCACGGAAACAGTTTCAACACAGCTGGCAGTTGTACATACTTGTACAGTACATAAACTGGTCTAGACTGGCACCCCCCCAACCAGGAAGATCGCCGAACTTCAATATCATCAATCCATACAATTAGTTCTGACAACAAAAAACCAAGCATGGCCCATGAAACACAAACATCCGTGGCCACCTTTCAAGAGTCCAAGCACAAATAACCAAGCCACCGTGCTTCAATCAAACACCACCGACACGAGCAAGCCATCCGGCATAAATTTATTTGTGTCCCCAAAAGGGGATTGATCAACATGGACAACACCTACACCAGGTGGTTACCGATGGTCATGGAAATCATGGAAAGGTCTGGATGCCCAGTTGCTGCCCCCCACTCACCCCCGGTGAACCATTCCATTCCATCTACAGTATATATACCTAGAACCTGATTGACTCCTGTTTTGGAGCCAAAACATGGTCTTATCAAAACAAAGGTCAAATGGGTTCTATGATGGCTCGACAAGTGCCTGCCATAGGCTATGCCTTGGCTTCCGACCCGGCCAGGAAGGGTTCGATCTCCCGGTGAGGCTGAAAAATGAAGCCCACCACAGGGATCGTCAAGGCCTCGTGCCGGTGCTTGGCTTCGGCCTTACCGGTCACCGTTTCGAACCGCAAGAAACGAACAAACACGGTGGCAGAAGAGAGGCAGAAGTGGGCAGAAGTCGGCAGAAGTGAACATCTTCAAGTTGTACCGAATCATTTACCTTGTTCCATCCCATTCATTTCGTCATGAGGAGTGCCCGCCCAACCTCAAGCCGATGTGCACATGGAGGAAACAGAAATCCTTACTTCAACCCATCCTGATTGTTGCTATTACGCTATTTTTTTGATGGTGAACTGTGATCTGATGAGTGGTGATCTGCACCCCAACCACCTTCTCAGGAGATAGTTGGAGCCCTAGGGATTATCGTGCTGTTGATGTGTTGCTAGGTGTGATACTCTGTCGTGCACTGTGATACTCCATGGCCTGCTTCACAACTCTTCTCTCGAGCACGTGTTGTTGCATGTCCTACGGCAACTCTCATGGATTGTCAGTTGGCACAACGAGTTTTGCAAACCATCTTTCGTACGGAAACTGATGCAAACTCTACTTTACGGTGGCCGAGAGGGAGGTGTTGGTTTGTGACACTGCAGGTCAGCAGTTGCGTTCTGTTCTCCAGATAGTCCAAGCACGGCCACTGGTGAAGATAAGTTGACATGTCACTGGAACTGCGTCAGTTTGTGAATCCAAACATCACACATCCAAGCAATACACAACCAACATGTAACATGAGACTTTATTACCGCATGCAAATCACAAGGAATCACACATTTGGAGACTTTAATACTGCACCACAATTGCACTGAAACCGTGTCACAAGTCACTACACATCGCTACACATTGCATGACCACTCTAGCATTTCACCATACAAATCCCCAAAACAATGCGTGAACCTTCATCTGTGACAAATGCTTTTGGCGAACCTCGGGTTCGCAACACATTTGGACTCTTGCTTTTTTCGGGCTTTGAAGAGTTCTGAGCATTTCTTGAGATGCTGAAGACTGGAGTGTCTGGAGGTCCACTGGCCCGTCCAGCTCTGAATCGGGGTTGTAGGTCGATAAGGCCCAAGGCGCCCAACGGTGTAACGGAACTTCGCACAATGCGCGTAACTGGAAAAAGTAGGCAAACCACACCAAGCAAGTCGATTCTATCAAAGATGTTTTCCCTACTTGTGTCTTCCATTGTGTGGGTGTGTTGTGTGCACTATGGAGGCACGTCCCCAAATGGGTTGTGTATGAGAGGGTCCGATGCGCGTTTTTTTGAGCGATGATTGTACCGGCTTGTAGTGTTTTTTGCTTGAACGAACACATTTTTTAAATGATCGATCGTGATTTTTTTGTAGCGAAGGAAGCTCCAAATGGATACACACATGAGCATTTCACCCACACCAACCGTGAAGACCATCGCTCCGCCTCGGAGATGATCATGGCCACATGAATCAGCAGGAAGCCGAAAACGATGAAGTCAGGTTTCTCCTCCAATGTTGGCAAAGGAGGATCAACGAGGATCATAATGCTCGTGTACAAATAAGGTACTGTATATATGTACAACATAATACAAAATATATATAATATATATATATATATGCACTAGTTGGATTGATGCCTTTGCTGCTTTTCCAGGGATGAACACATGTCATTCACCTGCAATAGTGTAATTAATATGCTACTACAATGTTACTTGTGGAATGTGTAGATCCACAGCACTTAGTCGGCCAAGTAGGTCTGTCCGGCCCGGACCGTTGTCTGTCCGAGCTCTGGCAGATCGAGGAATGCACATGGAGCTGGTGGCAGGGGTCCGAGGTTGGGTTTCTACATGATGTTTCTATCAACTACTCTATCAACTATCATGCCTGGCAGGAGCTGGACGCAGTTGGGGACATGTGGGGATGACAATGTCTAAGCACGTAACGTGCACATGTACACACATGGCAATTGACCTTGTGAAACACACGACACCGGACCTGACGACTCTCTTGCCGAGCTCTCCTGCGGCATTCGGCGCCTGGAACCTTTTGGGGCCGGAACCGGAACCGTCGTCGGAACGCATCTCCTCCCAGGCCCAGTGGTAGAAACATCCTTCCGACTCAAAGAACTCCACCTGGCGGAAGGGAACCGCGACGTGCGGGTCACAGCACACGTGGCGGAAGGGGAGCGGCTTGCGAAGTGCGGCTTGCGAAGGATATCGCGGCGAGAAGCAAATGGCAGAATTGCCCAAACGTCCTAAAGAGAGAGGCGACCAAGTGAAATTCATTGAAATTCCCAACGAACACATTGGACATGATCTTGGAGGATCTTGGATGTTTGGTACACAAACAAGCACGAAAAAGCTTTCCTCCAAACATGGGGAACAAAAACAACTAAGTCAATCTCTCAATAATTCTCTCTATATATATAATATGTAATTTATAGTTGTTTGAGTCGAGAACAGTTCATGAACGTCATTTGTTCACGAACACC